ATTTTTTTTTATGAATCAGAGTTTTAACTACTCAATAAACATAACACAATAAAAATACTGAGTATTTTTAAATTAAATTATGCAAGAAACTTCTGTGTTGCAAATTAATTTTGTTATCTTGAACATTTTCTTTGTTCAAGGAAGAGTGAAAGAGCTCTGATTAAATTAATTAAAACAATTCTTTAGTTGAATAAAGATAAAAAGAGAAGAGGAAAATGATGGATAGCTTCCTGCATAGTGCAGTGGGACTTACAGCTGCAACTACTGCTGTTCTGGTAGCATGAAACCAGTGTCCTAATGGTCAGTTCAGTCTCGTTTGCTGGGAAGATGCTCTTTTCCTTCTCCAAGCAGCAAGGGGTGGTGTGAGTGGAGAACACAAATAACTCTGAGCAATGAAGCGCTGTAAGCACAAATGCCTGAAATACAGTAGTTCTTCCTTCCCATAAACACAGACTTCTGTGTAGAGAGATAATTGTTAGAAAAAGTCAAAACATCAATGGAGAAAGTCAACAAAAACTTTAGGGTCCTTTAAGATGGTATGTAGAGGGCTGTCCTTTTCAACAGTTTTCTTGTAGTATGACGGCTGCTGCAACCTGGCTGTGAGGGCTGAGTCATCATGTTCTTGTATTCCATCTTCAGTTTAGTATCTGCATGATGGCTTACATTTAAAATAAAATACAGCAGTTCTTATAGAGACTTGTGGGGATAAATTAATTGAACCTAGATGAAATTCATTGTGTTTTAAATAGATCTGGAAGCTCCATGATATAACTTCTTTGTAGCTTTAGATGATTTAACTTCTTTTGACAATTAAACTTCTTATAGGATTTAGGATGAATTTGGAATAGTTAACCAAGCAACAGGCATTGTATTTGAATAGTGACTAAGCCACTGCTGGGAATAGTCTATGTAGTACTGTTGTAGTATAGATTTGGGATGCAACTACACTAGGTTTAAGCAAGCCAGATTTACATGGCCTAAATTTAGACAATTGTGTTCAAAGAGATGTTGTGATTTGGCAGAGCACTGTGAATTGAAAAGTTACCTAAGGATGAAGCCATCCCACATGACCTGAGTAGTAAGTCAAGTGGGAGGAGAATGAGTGAGAGGAAAGCGCAGAGATCAGATCTGTGACTTCAGTCTTTCATCTTGAACCTTCTCCTGCTGTTTATTTAGTGGTGATCTTGAAATGTGTCTTAGCTGTGCCATAAAACTTAACTTTTATACTAAGTTCAACATGTTGGAGAACTAAATTGCTGTTAAATTTTTGCATGTGATGTGCTCAGTAGCAAGAGTAGAGGGCATGGCCTGTGTGAGCAGTCACCTCTTCTAAATGGCGTAACTTGCACAGACACTCAAAATTCTGCGGAGTGCTTACAAATCTATATTGCAATCTGTTGCGTGTTGGTGGTCAAGAGGTTTGGGATTTTACAGCTGCCCTTTGTAATCTTCTTGAAAAGAGACAAGGTGGATGCCTCTTCTGTCTCCAAAATCTGTTCTGAAGCTCATGGGAAGAAATTGTCCTGTTAATTGATAGATAGCAAAGGTACCTAGGAAACATGTGGATGTAATAACTGTTATCCTCATAGGGATTTCTTCCATGCAAAGCAAGCAGGTAGTACCCTCCTGTGGACAGAAAGTCTTCTGTGCTTTGAGCTGTATACTCTTGTAACTGGTTTCTGTGCACTTTCCTACTCTATGTTTATGCTGCTCTCTGCAGCAGTAACAGATTTGACCTTGAACCACTAACAGCTGTGAGAAAAGGAACACTGATGAAAGTAGGCCTGGCTTCATAGCTTGTACAAAACTTGAAAGTCTTTTCAAGTGCATAGATATGACAGAACTATTAATTGAATCAGTTTATAGGTTTCTATCCACTTCTGTGGCATTTACCCACTTACGCTGTGTTCTGCAAGAGTCACAGAAATGTCTGGATACTGAGGTACAGAGGGACAGTATTCCACATGTAACACTTCTATAGTCAGAAATTAGAAAAATGCGGGAAGAGAACTAGAAGCTGTGATGTGATGTGATGTGATGTAATGTGATAGTGATGTTTTCCCAGAGCCACATATGTGGTGTCAAGGCTGGAAATAGGAGTCCAATTGTATCGCTTCAAAGTGATGGCCCATTCAAATGTCTTTTAAATTATGCCATCTCTCTTGGTAAGATCAGAAACGTGACAGACCACCCAAAAAAAATGTGCACACAGTTGTATTGACTCGGATATGGGAAGCAAGAAAATTACCAGATGTGGATATCATGGAAACTATGTGGAAGTATAACCTTTGTTATGGAGACATAACTGCACAGCAGCCTGGTCCTTGATTTCTTCTAGATTCTGTCTACCTGCATTTTCTGCTTTTCTATAATTGCTTATACAGACACCACAGTTTTTTTTGCTGGCATCCTCATGAACTGGATGATCTTTAAAGACCCAAGTCTGTATACCAATGTCTGGTGGACTTTACGTAAAGAGCCCTAGAAGAGATCCAGCTATGCCAACAGAAATCTTAGCAGTGCTTGTTTTGTCTGAGGGACTGGTATAGACTACCTCAGGGAAGTCAGGACCCCTCTGGAAGGTGTGACATGTTAAGGGTATGCCTTTACTACAGACTAAAGTTCAAAGAGCTATCTGAATTATGCGTAAATTAATATATTCAGTTAACAGGAACAGTCATACCATGAAGCTCTGAGCTAATTTCACTCAAAAGGCAAAATAGATCAGTACTCAGAAGTTTGAAAATTCAGGCATTTGCTCAGGTCCATTTCTGAAAGTTGTTATCTACCTTTCTTTTTTGAAAGGTATGTAATACCCTCAGATCTTCTTCCTACTTTCATAGTGCAGTTTTGATCACAAACACTTTGCAGTATCAATGTCCTTTAGCAGTTGGATGGCTCCCTTTCCCCCAGGCACAAGTAACATGATACTACCTGATGGTTTAGCCAAATAAAAAAATTAAAAGATGATACATTAAAGAGAACCAAAGCTTTCTTTCCTTGTCACAAGGAAATTACAATTGCAGGCAGAGAAAAGGTGGTCTGCTCTTAAGCAACCCAGATCTTATAAATACAGGAATTTTATAAGTACTAGAAGAAACAGACTGTTTTCCTGGAAATACCATAAAACCTTTACTTCAGGGTGCTACGTGCTGGATGACCAAAGTCCTGGAAAGACATGAAACAGTACAGACAACACATTGGTGTGTACTGAGGATCAGAAGAATGTCAGATTATTCTTCGTGGGTTCTTTACTACTTTCTCATTAAGGGAGTGATTGTGGATAATAGTCAGTTGGGTTGTTGTTGTTTCCTCCTTCCAAGCTGATTTATAGCCTTGTGGCAATACTTAGCAGATAAAGAATCCACCACTGCACCTTGTAGTGTGACCAGTAGCAGGGGCTGCAGACAGGCACTGTGCAAAGCTGGGAGTGAGATGGCAGGGTAGAGAAAAAAAAAATCTGAGAAACTGAGGCAATGGCACTTCTTTTCATGTATACTTTGCAGTGGATGGGGAGTCTGTAAAAGCCATCTGTTCTTGTTATTGCTTTGTATTAAGGTTGGGTAAACTTAGATTTTGCTGGAATGAGAGGGCCAGAATATCAAGTTAGCCAAGACATTATAATGAGCTCATGGCAGCACTTCAGCTAGCATGAATATTCCCTATTTCATACTCTAAATGGTAGCTGAAATAAATATTCAAATTGTCTGTTATGGTTGAGGCAGAATGGAAATCAAGCTCATCTTTTTTGGGAACTGGTGGCAATTTAAATAATGACTTTAAATTGTTGTTGTTGTTGTTGTTGCAAATTAAGCTCAAATCACAGGTGTACAGCTGTACCACAGTGCTACATTTCACATTTACTTCTCACTTTTACTGTAGAACAGTGACTTGTGTAAAACATGGGATGTCTGGAAGAAGCAAAAAGCACAAATGCCAGCACTGCTGTACCATGTAGAGCAAACACCGTGCAACTACTCAGTATAATTTCATGCTGGCTGCTCATTTTTAGGAGCACTCTGATTCATTAGCTCAGCAGGAAGAAAATGGGAAGAAAATAATTAAATTCCTTAACACTGAGAATTTGTGCTCATTTTGGAAAACACCTTACTACCACTACAACAATCCTGGGAAGAGCTGGGACTGAAATAGCACACTGTGATACAGTTTTCTACAAAGTCTCTTGGCAGAGCTTAAGACTAGGAAAATAGCAGTCAAAGGTGCCCTGTCCTGAGAGAGGATGAGGACAGCTTCCACAACACAAGCGATAAACATGTTTTTCCTTATCCTAACATATATCCCTAGATTACAGCTTCTCTGAGAGATGTTTCAGAGACATCCAAGGACTGTCAGACTCATGTTCACTGGGTATGACAAAGAGTCTCTTTACTGAACACATCCTGGGGAAAAATCACACCTGGGCACCTTTTACAGTGCCATCACCATACCCCATGTGCTTTTGTAGTAACGGCAAATGCACAGACTAGTACGTGGGGACAGATTGGACATGTGCTCTTCCTCAATGTTCTTTCCTCTTCCTGTTGGATTATTCTCTAGAGCAAAGGATATGGGGACAGAAAAGGGAAGAAAATGATAACAAGAGTGAGGGAACATTCCAGGCAAATAAGAGAAGATGATTGTAGAGAAGAAATGCATCCTGAAAGTTTAGAGAGGGAAGTTTTAAAAAATCACCGTGACATGTGGTTTCTCCTTTAGGTCATTATGTTGGGATGAGATCAGTCTCAATGAGTACAATCATTGCTGTCATTCCTCTAATGTTTCTTTCTGGATTCCTTCTCTGTGTTCAGCTGCGTATCATTTAATTAATTCTTGTCTGACTCCTCAGCATTTTAGCCAGGTCTTTTGACTATCTTATTCTTGCCCAACATATGAATAGGCCTTCCTTGGGCATGCAGACCCTAGGGTTTTTTTTAAGGACAGAACTAGGTAACTTCAGAATAATTAGCTGACATTTCCTCCCCTCCCCTCTTTTTTTAAAGACAATTCCTCATCTCTCCAGGAAGATGAAGAGATAGATATGGAGGCTGTCAACTGGCAGCTGAACAACACCTCCATGAATGGCCATTCATCTACCCCAACCACAGTTCGCTTTCCCAGCTGGGTGACTTTTGATGACAATGAAGTCAGTTTTTCACCGCAGAGCCTTTCTCCCTTGAAAACAGATACCCCACCTGCAGAAACACAGACTCCAGATGTTAACTTTAATCTCACTACATCCTTAAAGAAAAGAGAACGTCCTAAAAGCACACTGGGAGACCTCTCCAAAATTCAAAAATTAGATCTTTCCTCTTTAACCAAGTTGCCTTCTGTTGAAACACCACCATGGAGTGCTACCAATCCCTTTCTGGATGAATCGCTTCGAGATGTCCAACCCTCACCCATCAATCCATTCAGCTCATTCTTTGAGGAGCAAGAGAGGCGTTCCAAAAGCTCTTCTGTCTCCAGCGCTCCAGGCAAAAGCCAAAGAGACTCTCTCATTATTCTCCATCAAGAGCCTGATACCATCAGTTTCCATGAGGGAAACAAAACTGTAACCCACACAGATGCAGTAGAGCAGCTCAAACAGCTCCAGATTGGAGACCCAGATCGTGTGAGTGGTCCTACCTTGCCTGATGATGACCCCATGATGCCATATGATCTGGAGGCAGCTTTTTTTAACCTGGCACCAGCTCAGCCAAAGGATGGATGGCCAATGATGCTGAGGATCCCAGAGAAGAAGAACATTATGTCATCCAGGCACTGGGGACCAATATATGTCAAGCTGACCAACAGTGGATGTATACAACTTTTTTATGAGAAGGGACTGGAGAAGCCTTTTCGGGAACTCAAACTTGAAATCAATCATGAGATTTCAGAGCGCAAACTGCAGAACTACGATGAGAATGGAAGGATACACAGCGTGCGGTTGGATCGCACAACATACAAGGAGAAAAAGAAGTATCAGCCTAAGCCAGCCATTGCACACACTGCAGAGAGAGAGCAAATTATCAAACTTGGGACTACAGATTATGAAGACTTCCTTAGCTTCATCACTGCTGTGCAAGACACACTGATGAACTTGCCAGCTTCATCAACGGATCTGAGCACAGTAGGACTGAATTATCAGGAAGAAGAAATCACTGTGGATGTCAGGGATGAGTTTCATGGCATCTTGGCCAAGGGAGATAGTGTGATTCTCCAGCACAGTGTGCTGACTCATATCTATGTTCTCAGCTTCCTTTCTGGCCTGGCAGAATGCAGACTGGGCCTTAATGATATCCTGATCAAAGGGAATGAAATAGTTGCAAGGCAGGATATTATGCCTACTACTACCACTAAGTGGATTAAATTATACAGCTGCCGGTTCCATTCATGTGTGGATGAGGATATGTTTAATAACTCCCGTATTATCCTGTTCAACCCGCTGGATGCCTGTCGGTTTGAACTGATGCGATTCAGGACTGTCTTTGCTGAGAAAAGTTTGCCTTTTACTCTGAGGACAGCTGCCAGCATCAATGGTGCTGAGGTGGAGGTGCAGAGCTGGCTGATGATGTCCACGGGGTTCTCTTCCAATCACGACCCTTTAACTCAGGTCCCTTGTGAAAACGTGATGATCCGCTACCCCGTGCCAAGTGAGTGGGTGAAGAACTTCCGCAGGGAGAGTGTCCTGGGGGAGAAATCTTTGAAAGCCAAGGTGAACAAGGGAGCCACTTTTGGATCAACCAGTGTGTCTGGTTCTGAGCCAGTAATGAGAGTAACTTTGGGAACTGCCAAATACGAGCATGCCTTTAATTCCATCGTATGGAGGATAAACCGACTGCCTGACAAAAACTCAGGTGAGTGGCACATACCATCTCTGCAGGAATAAACTAGAATGAGTTATGTATTTTGAAAGATGGAAATACTGAGCTTAAATGGTGAGAGATATATCATCCTCTGTAGTATACCAAAGGGCATAAATTTGTTGCATGAAGTATTTGTCTGACCCTTCATTGTAACAGTTTTATGTATACTACAAATATAGCTAATGCTTTATGTTTTCTAGATGCAAAAATATGTGTTCTATCTCTGCTTGGAGGTATTTAAAAGAGGTAGTACTTAGGGAAATGGCCTAGTGGTAGACAAGATTAGTGCTGTTTAATGGTTAATGATTAATGGTTGGACTTGATGATCTTAAAGATGTTTTCCAGTAAATGGTTCTGTGATTCTCTGATTATGAAACCTAGGCACCAAACATCTGTGTGTTCCGTACTGTTATTGGAAGCAGGGCTTTTCACGTAACTTGCAAAAGCAAGATTCTATGCTATGGGACTGAATGGCAGGATCAGATAAATTGCTTTAGCTCCAGCACATGTGATATCTTTTCCATGCATTGCCAAGTATACTGGGCCATTGCTATATATTTCAATGCATATGCCACAGTTAATGCCTCTGAATTATCTGAAATGGGGATTGTAAGAGAACAGAAGACATTGCTCAACCATTCTAAAAAAAAAATAGAAATTTACAAACACCATTTTGTGGCTATGTTTCTGTAATCAATGTAGACAGGGAATTAGAGCTTAAACCTGAAGAGAGAATACCAATATGAAATCCACGTTGTGTTTCTATCCCAAGTCTTTGTATTTTTAGTAACATAGTTATAATTAAAACATCAAAATAATTAGGCAAGCTACTGTTCCCTTTGGCCATTACGGCCAGTCATTCTATTTGCTGCCTGTCATCCATGGTGCACAATAAAGCTGGACAACTCAGTTTTATTTTTATTTGTAGTGAATTCTACTTCTTGACCTCTCTGATCTAGAATAGCTTTTTGCAAATGAGATGGACTTTTCAATATTAATGCTATAGTAATGCATCTGGGTGACTGGAAGGGTTTCTGTATTCAGTGCTCCCTGCAGGAAAGTTCATGCGGTACCAGATTCGGCACTCTCTATATGTTTTTCCTGAGTTTGAGTGTCAGCAAAACAGTGATCCAGGTGTCCTAATCTTTTGGGTCACATTTCAGCCAAAGACACTAGTTTACCCCACCGGTTACAAATTTGGAGGGATTCCACTGGAAAAAAAGAAAGGCTCCAGGTTTCCAGAAGACTGAGGTGTAAGAAGACAGAGCTTGGAAACTTGAGAGCAATACAGCAATGAAAAATTAACCACAGGCTGTTTATGAGCAATAACATGCTTGTGAGGAAAATCTCAATATGCATGAGCTCTGGGAATGAGATGTTGTGAAAATGGGCCTTCTGTGGTGTCTTCTCTCCAAAGATCTCAGTGTACCATGTAGACATCACAGCTGAGAAAACAGAAGCCCTCAGACTTTAACACAATCACAGAACATGCCAGTAGCAAACCAGAAGAGGCAAAATTCCTGTCTCTGCTGCCTCCTGCAAGGTGATGCTGCCTTACCCACTGCTACTCTGAGGGAGATACTGATCTGTGCCTCTTGTTTCCTTCTTTCCTGTTGTGAATCTTTATTGTATATACACTGTGACAGGGGGAAGGAAATACATTACAGATTTGTTGCTGCTGTTGGACCCCTGCCACAGAGCATCTATCCATCAGTGTCATCATGCAAAACACAGGGCAGTTGGTATTTGTTTACATCCTGAGAGGAAGAGAGTGTCCTCACCCCTCCGGTCAGATCAGATGTAATTTCAGGGAAAGGAAGAGCCTTGGAATCCCTGTCTTGGCCAAGACACATGAGGTATGTGAGAGGGAGGGAATCCCAAAGTGATGACAGGGCAGGCCAAGTGTAGTTTAAATCTGACATTGCCCTTCAGGAACTATTTCTGTTTATTGATGGTACTTCATCCCATGGTTCTTCTTTTTCAAAGTATATGGCAAACAAAGAGGTATATAAGTGGTACTCAGAAACATTCCTTCCCACTTGTTCTTAGATTTGCCTGATGGACAACATATGCTTTTGTCCAAGTGCTACTCATGTGGGATCTAACTGCCAGCCTTGTGCATGTTTGGCTGTATCCAGCTCTATCCACAAGTCAGATGATAAACCAACTACATGTATTTGCAAAGTCATTATAAATGATGCAGTTCTCAAGCACTAAACATAAAACTACTCCACTGACTCATACTTTACGCTCTCTTACTGTGATATCTGTAACTCACCTCTAAGGGCACTCTGGGTCTTCTGTAAATATCTGGCCTGCTAATGAACTGCTTTGATGCCTGGGACTCCAGCGCAGGAGAGAAGTAGTGGCATCACAATGGAGCTGAGGGAACTGCTGCAGGTGGCCACAGCCTGCAGCTCCACCTGCCTCCAGAGGCCACACAAAGGGTCCACACCACTTGAGGCATATGCATTGCATGGGTGCTCCAGCACATGTGCCTGTCTGCCAGACATGCTCACAGGAGTACATATGTAAGCATGCATTTTGGGACTTTTTTGTTCATCCACAGTGTGTGCTCAGACACACTTGTAAACACAATCACAGAACTCCAGAGGTCTCCAGATAGCCAGCTGGATCTCCTGTGCATCACTCCATTCCCTGAATGGACTGGTGCAGTCTCTGTGTCGAGGTGAGGGGCACGGCCTCCAGCCCTGCCATCCGCAGGAGAGCGTGTCCCTATGGAAGCGCACTACTTGTGTGCAGGTTGTAGCATCCTAAGCACCAGATTGTTAAGAATTACTTCAGCAGCTTTGCAATCTTATCTAAATTTTTTCTTTCTGTGCTTTCTAATGGGATGGGGCCCTTTGCACTCTCACTCTAGGAGACAGTGTTATCAGCACTGTCTGTATTATTTTGTAGCCAAAGTTTCTGCTCATGACCAAACATTGAAAAGCATGTGACAAAATAAGAACAGTGCATACTCTATGATTTGACCTAAGGAAAAAATATGGACAAGATTCTATTAAGCACACTGCTGAAATCCAAATAGCAAATATTTGTCCTTTTTTACAGCTTGGTGAACTTTATTGCCTGTCTCATATTTAATATTAATATGAGCAAAAGAGTTGATGAAGAACACCTACTTGTAGGCTATTTACAGCTCCAGTTGCTGCTGGCTGGATTTTACATGTTATTTTTTTTAAATCCACCAGTAGAATACTAGGGAAGCCTCCAAACAGTCTTTGATCGTGGGAAAAGGCGCTTTCTGTGAAGCAGGGATGTAACATCTATGCAGAGCCATGGATCTGGATTTGAACTTTCCTCTAGTTTGGCTGTGGATCCCAGGCATGCTGCCTGGAATACTTTCTGAAGTAAATTGTATCTTTTAATCCAAACATGTTGGGACATTTGGAGTGCCATGAGTCATTTCAGACAGATTCTCTCCAATCACAGTTACACTTGTATATATATTTGAATTATCAGATCCTTGATTGTCAGAACAAACTGGAAGTAGTTCAAGGAAACAAGAGGTGCAAAACAAAAGCAGTGTGTTGATTATTGCTGATTTTACTAAGAAGGGTACCTGTCCATTAGAAAAAGAGCTGAACAGTCTGTAGAGGTGGTGCTTCATGAGCCTCATGTCCAGGACAGTAATGAGCACTGATAGGCTAGGTAATTTTGCAATAGCTTCAGTGGAGGAGTTGCTTTCTTAATCTGTTCACCTTGCTATCTGCCACACTGAGCTGGTTTAAATTAATAACTTCCATAATTTTTATGCATTTTGGGGGGTGGGCAGTGCAGTGTGTTACCATGTGTCCAGTTGAAATTATGAACAGTTTAAATGCTCAGCTCTCCAAAGCACCTGGCATGCAGTGTGCTCAAGCCCAGTTAAACAATTCCCAGGGATCTACCCCAAAAGTAGCTGAGCACGTGCCAGCTCAGGAGTGTCACAGCACAGGCTGAACGTTCTGCAGCTGTGCATGCGGCCTGCACCAGAGCACAGAACCACTCCTCCGGGGCTGCTGGCATTCTCCAGTCTGAAGGAGGGAGCAACCCACAGCAAACTAGAGAGCAGGAACTAGAGAGCAGGAAGGATTTAAATGAGAAGTCTGCTGAGAGTGGTACACTGTAAGGAAAGAGATATGAACGGATGGGGAACCTGAGACTGGGGGTTGGTTGCCAGTGCTGAGTGCTGAACGCAGATTTTTGGAGCCAGTTTTAAATATCTCCAATGCAGTACCAGACAGCAGTGCTGTGTCACCCAAGGGCCCTGTGGCAGATGCTGAATTGTGCTGCCACCATGGCTGTGCCCACTACAGCCAAGCTCAAGAACTGGCCAGCAGCAAAAGCACTGTGGTGCTGGGGGGCACAGTGATCTCCCTGAGAGCTCCTGGGGCTGCTGCTCTCCTGTGGTGGGCAGGAGCACCAGGAAGGCATGCTGTGGACCACAGCTTTTGATCCAGAAAAAGCATGTCCATGTATGAAAAGCCAGGAAGGGCTGTCAGACAAACATCCTGGCTTGCTCCAGAACCAGGGCATATGGGTCAATACTCTGCTTGGGGTAATTAATCCTGAAGAAAAGCAGATGTATTTTAATGCTTGCGGAACTTGAGCTTCTATATCTGCTTGATACTGCACCCATTCATTCATAATTTGGCTCCAGCTATGGTGCTGCATTTGCCTGCTCTCTGCTGAGCTGCACAGCTTCTCACTGAATTTGCTGCACACACATGAGTTTACAAACCTTCCAGCGGTGAGGGAACTTTGGCTAGACCGTTTTGAAATATGAGGCTGACTCCAGATGAAATTCTTACCCAGACTTACACTGAGTAGAATTTTTTTCCCAGCTCTATTGCAGAGGTCAAGTGGGATGTTGCAATGCCTAAGCCCTGTAAAGACTGCCTAATTTCATCCTATTGGGACAACTCGTATTTCAAAATCCCACATCTTGCTTTTTAGGCTTCAGTTTAACAAGGCTGACTTTGCATTAAGCACGTGTATTCCTGCTTTTCCCAGTGGGAGCTTCTGGGCTTTCCCCACCTGGTTCTCTTTACTCTGACTGCCTTCCTTCTTCCTTGTCTCTTGCTGACCTGCATGGAAAAGAACTTTCCTAGTGAACAAGTAGTCAGGAACCCTAAAGCCTATAATAAAGGCAGCAAGGATTCAGTTCATTTCCTTATACACTCTTTTACACATGCATAGATAATAGGATCCTTTCAATCAGAAACCCCTGTGTGGCTGTGAAGGCTTTCATCCTAATTTTGCAAGTAAAGAAACTGAGGCAGAGACATTAAATTACATGCTCAAGAGTTTAAGGAGTTGACAGCAGTCAGAGAAAAAAGTTTGACTAGAAGTCCCTACTTTAATTTTTAAACATCACTGCTGTCTAGCAAAACAAAGAGGAAAAAACAGTAAGGGCCATTTACATATGACAGAACTAAACATTACCTCCTCTCCTTGCCATCCTTAATGATTAGCCACCTTGTCATGGGTTCGAGTGAGGAATAAATGGTTACTATGAAGCTTTGCACAAATTTGCTTTTTTTAAACATTGGAAAGGTTATTTAACTTTATCCCGTACATTTCCTTCTGCTAAAAAGGGGGATATTGATTTCAAATATTTCCAAATTCCTTCTTTCCTTATTATCATTTCATAATCTTTCACAGAGATGTGCCACAATGTACTTAGCATGTGACAGACACGGATGGAATCAACAGGACAAATACCTCTACCCTACTGTGCTTGATTTAGTTCTTATATATATTTTTATTTTTACCCACTAAAAGCAAACCAGAGTGATTAGCAATCCTTTTTGAATTTTATTGAATTCCTTTGGTAACTTCAACCACATTGAAGCAGGTAAGACACTTGCTATAAACTAGTTCACTTAGAGAGATTCTCAGTTTCCTGCGGCTTCGTGATGCTGCTTTCTCCTAGGCGTTGTGTTTTGATTCATCTGACACAACTCTCATGACTATTTACTCTCTTTTTCCAGCTTCTGGCCATCCTCACTGCTTTTTCTGTCACCTGGAGCTTGGCTCTGACCGGGAAGTGCCTTCCAGTTTCGTCCGCTATGTAGATGTGGAATTTGACATGCCCACCACTTCTGCATCCAAAGCCACTGTTCGGTCCATCTCTGTCGAGGACAAGACCGATGTGAGGAAGTGGGTCAACTATTCAGCACACTACAGTTACAAGGTAAAACCGAGCAGTGCTAATCACCATGGTTTCTTTGCATGCTTCATTGTCTTCAAAAGTATGAGCAGACAAAATACCATGGACAAAAGAGGTGGGAATTTGGCACATGCCAGCCTGTTTGCAGTAGCAACCCATGTGCAGCTATTGATTCATGGCAAATAAGCAGTGGATTATCCCTCAGCAAAGATGGAATAAATTTGCTTGCAGTTGCCTGTGGAAGAGCATGCACACAGCCAGCTCCTGGGGATTAGCTGATATGGAGAGTTTGAATAGGGAGTTTTCCTGCTCTTCACAGTGGGAGTGCTACCGTGGGAGTCCTACTGCAGACAAAAGAAGCACATTATTTCTCTGCTTAAATATTTCTTCCTTCTGCCTGCCCTAAGTAGAGGAGCAGATAGGAAAGCACACTATGTATATACCTGCCAAAATGTCTCAGTAAATTTGCATGTTAGCTGAATACTCAGCAGAGAAATTGGCATCCTACCTCGCCTTCTCTGAGAGCAGTGATAAGAGATTCTGAAAATATTCTCACAGCAAATATTTTTACTGGTAATTGTAATTATATTTTTAGTAGTTTCTTAAACTCCCTGGAGATGGTATTTGATCTTCCTAAGTATCCCTTTAAAGAATTAAAACATTGGATTATTCCCGAGTTTTCGGAGATTAGAAATTTAGAACCCAAACAAAAATCCCCTTGGCCCTGTCCCAATACAAATTGGTATCTGTAGGCCAAAGCAACTCTGAGCCTGAGGACAGCAGGGAGTGTGCTGATATTTAGGGTAATGTTAGACACTGCTTCAAGAAGCAGGGAGTTAGATTTGATGATCCTTATGGGTCCCTTCAAACTCAAGATCATTTAAAAAATCTCTTTGCTTTATACATCAGTCTTTTCAGAATTTATAATTAAGGCTGGTTTTCTGCTGTGACGTAGGAAGCCACCTATCACCTGCAGATTTGGTTCTGGGTTTGTATTCAGAGCACAGCTGGGAATGGTAATGAATATAAAATTATGTGAGTTCTCTGTATGACACTATCTCTTCTGGAAATTATTTTGTGACACCGCTGAATTGTAGAACTGCTTAGATTAGACTGAAAATCCTTATAGTAAATAAAATCCCATTTTCCCTGATCCTCAGTCTGGTTTTCCTCAAAACCCTCTTAGTTCACCAAGGGTTTCTTCACCTGAGTACAAGAACCGCCACTGTGGAAGGTTCGTGAATCTTTTGTTTTCTTTTCTCATTACAAATTTTCTTCTTCTTTATCTTCTACCAGGTCGAAATAGAGCAGAAAAAAAGCTTGAATGAGGATCTGAAGGGAGAAAGTACTGCAAATGTCAATGAATGTGCTACACAGTAAAGGAAGATCATTCCGCAAGTCCCAAGAGGGGTGGTCAAATTAACAGACCTGGAAGAAAGGACTTGAAGGGGTTGGGTATTTTTCTTTTAAAAAACAAGAGACTACTACTTTTAAAATAATGCTTTGAGGAGTATATTTTTTTTTCTTTGTGATAATCTGTACTTTGAGAAGAATGTGGTCAGTAGTTTGGAAGGAATCCACGGGCTTTTGCTGGAACGGTAGAAGTACAGTTGTACAGTCAAGCCTGCCTTTTCTGCCTTTTCATCATTTAGGTTCTGCACTCAAGTATGGTCTGGCAACCATCGCAGCCACACCAGAAAACAGCCTTTATCACACGATCTTGCCCTCCCACATGAAGCATTTTGTTTCAATGCCTTTCGGTTTGGCCACTCACTGAATTGCTTCCTTCTGAACTGCCAAATAAAATTCAGGGAGGATCAAGTGAAAAATTATATAAAATCTCCTTTCTGAAATGGTCCACAGAGGGAAAACCCTGAGCATCATTCTGGAGAATCAATACACTGTATGACACACTCCTCTGAAATAAAGAGAATGGTCTTTGTGTTTTAGTAGATGAACTACAGACAGGAGAGCTGATCACAGAGCTGTTCCTCTGTTCAGCCCTTCTTCTCTCATCCCTTGAATGACAGCATGTCACTGTGCACGTTTTCACAGGGTTTGCACAAGTTACAAGAAAGCCTCTGCAATTTCTTAAAATTTTTATTTTGTAGTCTGAGCCGTTCTGGTATTTGGACTGAACATGGTTATGGCTGCTAGCAACAAGGAATGTGTGTTACAATAATGGAGATACTGGAGGGACTTCGCTGAGATTAGATCATTCCTGCCTAGAAAGATACTTAAGGGAAAAACATGGGGTTTAGTTTTGGGTTTGGGATTTTTTTGTATGTTTGCTAGGATGGGTAAAATGGGTGGTCATTAAAAATGTCAGAACACAATTACTTTAACAGACAATGTTGTTTGTTTTCCTGAAAATCCTTGGAAGTCTGTCCAGTACAATAGTATTTTCATGTTCTGTCTTGAACCTACAACGTAAGTTGTAGTAACAACAAAAAGTACAAAGTAACTTGTATCTTTATAATTATGTTTATAATACTCCCATTAACTGGGCCTCAGAATCTCTTTCCAAAAATTAACAAGCTTCTATCATTGAGATTTTTCATCTCCGCTTAGCTGTAAATAATAGCAAGTCTTAAAACCTCTTTCTAAATAAAAATGCAGAAAACATAAATCAGTCATTTACACATATTTTCAGAGAAAACAGTGTTAAAAGTACCCATTTTTAGTTGTTTCTATGGCTTGTGTAATATTTTGTCTCGTAATGTTAAATGTAAAGTAAGTAATTTATTAAATCATTTATCTTTTGAAAGGTTACTACTGACTATAAAATACACATTTGGAAAACTTTGGCAATGTAATTTAAAAGCATAATGAATGAAATGAAAGATTTTTTATAAATTTATTTCATTTTACATTTAATACAAAAAAATAGTACACTCTTGATTTACCACTTTCACTGTGACTCCTATAAAATTAATACAGTGTTAAAATCCCAAATAAACCATGAAATTAATTTCAATGAGTCTGAAACTGGTAGTGGTAGAATTTGAAATAAATTGTAGGGAACTTAAAAATGCCTTTTTTATATACACCTGTATTTCAAGCCTGCATCACTCGAGTGATAGATACTTACACAGGTACAGCACTGTAAATATGTAAAGTCTCAGTCTTCTAGGGTTTACTAACAAGCCTGTAACACTCCATTGCAGGTAGCCCTTCTGGGCCCAGGGTGCTCCTTGGAGCTCACCAGTTAATACTAAGCATTTGCAACATCTGTCTGTAAATGGGAGAATGCTATTAACTTCTGTGAAGAATTCTGAGCTCAGTGGATTAAAATTTCTGATACTATTAATGATAACTTGTATAGGTTGTGAAATACCTGACAGCACAGGGCTGAATTTGTGACTGATTCTCAGCTGTGGCACAGCCTGGCTGTGATGAGTTGCATGGCAGCTCCTCTACAAAATTCACTCCTGTTCAAAGGCAGTCAAAGAATTTCTGCATGGACTTCCTGCATTTCACTGCAGCTCTTAATGTACAGTTTCTGAAATGATATCATCAAGAAATAAAAAAAAAAAACGAAAACAAGCTGAAGCAGTGCTGAGATGTTACTGAGAAAATGTGAGAATATTTTTTGAAAGAAATGGAGATTTTATACTCTGACCTGCAGGCTCAGTGTCTGAGTTTCTTGCCTATTGCCCCTCAGCTCATGGAAACACAAAGTAATACGAGTTAGCAAAGTTATGTTGTACACCTTAAGAGGGGAGAAAATAAAAGGAATGTAATTTTCCATCACTGTTGAATTGTTAAACTATTCAGCCTCTATCATACTTGTACCACAGAACATTCTATATTCCAGTAACCAAAAGATAAACATATTGGAGTTTTACAGATATACTTAATTTCTTTACCACTTCATCACTGACTTTTTTTTTTCTTTTTTTTTTTAAATTCAGAATCAATGAATGAAAAACCTGACTGTCATCTTTGTTGTGCAGTTGTACATAGAAGTATTTCTTTCAGGCATCATGAATTTATGCAGGCAAAACTTGAAGTTTTCTGGTTTATATGAAAGCTATTTTAATCCATTCTCATCTCTGGAGAGTGTTTTTAGATGTACCTGCCACTGAATTTTCAAGACTTTAGGATGAATACCTCAGCCAGAGTTTCAAAAGATCTTATTTTCTAAGGACTGGAGTAAGTAGTTTGATTTTTCAAAAGAGTGCTAATAACCAATATCTTTAGAAAACCTATTGTTGGTGTAACCAAGTGTCTCAACTGAATTTTTCTTTTTCAGTCCAACACCATTATGAGCATTGAGAATTTGAACACTGGGATCCTAAGTGCCCTTAGTGAGGTTTTCACTGTTTTTTATTGATTAAATAGTGCCAATTTTTCAGTGTTACACACTATCATATATGTACTTTATGTACATATACTCTTCACCCATGTGACTGTAGCAGAAATTTGAAAAGACTCTTTGGTGTGAAGGGAAAAGATCCGAGAAGTTTGGGAGTTTGAAAGTAGCAGAAATTATGTATAGATACAAGCAGTGCCTGTAGTGGGGATGATTTTTTTTAACTTTTTTTTTTTTTAAACCATGTGGAAAAATCTCTCTGACTAGTTTCAGATTACTACTTCTTTTGAGAAAGATGCAATCACTGTCCTTTGGTATATTTCAAAGCTTTGTAGTACTCAAACACTCCCTGCAGGAAATGTGCCTTCAAGGTAAGAATACGTTTACTCCCTGAAGTGATTCTCACTTCCAGTCCTCTTTCTATTTCTCATTATGGTTTTAATATTCTTACTGTGGTGAGACTTGAGGTATCGCATGGAATTTTGCCTAGAAACATAAAGTGTCTTTGATCACAAAGGGTAAAAATGAATAATATTTCCAGGCAGCTGAGCTTATTTTAGTTAATGTCTCTTACATTTATTAACTATGGACAATCTGCTAGAAAAGGAAAATGGGTGAATTCAGCTGAGAAATACTAAAACTGACTGATGTTATTTTTGTTCTTGCTTTTATTTAGATTTAAATTTAGTCATCCTATGAAGGAGTCAGATATAGCAGTATCATTATAAACACTGCAGAAATAATTTTCATTCTCTGGTGGGTTGCTGGCTGACAGTTACTTGATAGGATGTCCAACACCTGTCCACATTATCTAGTAGCTGCTAAAACTCCTTCTTGAACAGATCCCTCTCAGGATAGAGAGCAATTGTACGTGAAAGAGCATGAAAGAAAGTGGAAAAGGTGTACAAAGTTCAGCCTGGAGGTGCTTGCTATTTTGCTTGCATAAAATTCTCAGTAATTTCCTTGGCCTTTCAGTACACTAATCAAGTTCATGACAAGTCACTTACGTTCCAGATGGTGAAAAATTTCTTTCAGTGACTCTTAGCAGTTTGTGTGCATAGCTGTATTAATCTCTAGAACTGATCAGCACAAGAATTTGCAGCACACAGAGATCACTTATAGATGAAGTACTTAGCCTCTTCTGCTACTAAAGTGAAATCTACATCAGGACATATCTAAGATACAAAATTTTGTGCTAAAATGCACAGCTGTTCCTAATGTTCCTGTTTTTGTTCAGTCAGCCAGCCACCCCTCACACATTCAGCCATCCATCCTCCCATCCATCCCACCCTCCCTCCCTCTCTCTCTCTTTCATACTTGCAATTCATTCTTTGCACTATTGACATTGATTTGTTTAATTATTGTTTTGTAACATGTTCTTACCTTCTTATTTTGTAAAATAAGTAAGTCTATACACTGGCTAACTTCATAGAAGTGGTTTATTTTTTTTTTCTTTATATCGGTTGAAATGGGATGTCATGTTTTGTTTAAACTACGTGAAAACTTAAATAAATGTTAAGATCAAACAGCATATCCCCATTTTCATTGTGAAATTGAAGTCATACGTGCTGTATATTCTGATAAATGTGAGGTCTTGAATTCAGAAGAACAAAGGGAATATTTTGAATGGCATAAAGGACAATATAAATTACAAGTAATGGGACTACATACAGAAAATAGCATTACTTCATTTGATCATGCAGATTGAACAATAGACTGCAAAGGAAATAGAGCAGGCCTAGAGCTTGAGCCACATAACAGTGTGGAGTAGTAACATAATATGTATGGAAGATGGTCCAGCATTTGAACAAATCCATCCTGAAATAAAGTAATAGAGGATTGAAGCCTCTGTTCAGTGGTCTCTTCTTTCACCACTCAAAACAGGAGTATATGAAAGGAGTATATGACTTATGTGATCAGAATGTCTGTTTGCAAAGCAACTATAAGGTCTAGAGTGTGTAGAGTCCTCTGCTATGATTCTCTGTGCTCTTTCAAAGTTCAGTAAGTAATGCCATGTGTCATTTCATACATCTTTCCACTTTCTCAGTCACTGAGACCCACTTCAGTCTGTTGTTTTTCTCAAAAGCATTCCTTGTATCAGACTGAAGAGCTGGGCACTTCTCTTGGCCAAATAAAATCAGATATCATAAATGCTGTTCAGAGTATTGCTCTGGGCTCAGTACAACTGACAGTAAGTCAACCATTTTATAGGTTCAGAAAATGGGGGTACACAAGGTACGATGCCTCATTCTTGTTATTTAAGAGTAAATCAGGTCAGCCAGAAAAAACAAGGAAAGTTAGGATCTGGGGGCTTGTGTACTAACAGTTTTTTTACTACAATTCAGATACTCAATGACTTTTGGAAATAAACATAAAAAATTGTTAGGGCAGGATTTTATTAATCCTGATAGCTTGCTAATATGCATAATGTTTTTTAAAAAGAAAGAGAAAAAAAATGAAATTTTAAAACCAAGGAGCTCAAAGTTCCTTGGCAATTGTGTAATCCTTAGAGATAAGTCAAAATAACAGCCTACAAGAGAGGGAGAAGTTAGAGTATCAGTGCAATGCATACCCAAACAAAAGACATCACTAGAGTGAGACAGCACAAACTGGAGAGTTAAAAAACACGGTTTTCTTTCAGTACTCTCAGTTGCCATGATTGCCCACCCTGAGATATGTTGCAAATTTTTAAGACAAAAAGTGATGAAGGTCACAGCTGGAGATGAAGCAAAAGATGAAGGAGCAGCCCACTGTTTCAGCTTAGGTGCAGGTGTGGGTCACAGCAGATGTGTCTGAAACATCAAGTGGCCCAGTCCCAGAAAAAACTTGTCCTTTTGGTCACAGTATCAAAAGCCTAACAGCAATTGTTGTATATAAAAAGGGAATTGGAATAGTATTATATACACTAGCTATGAAAGGTGTCCTTCTCAACTCTGAATAATGGGACAGCAAAGCCTAATGGACGGGTGACTGTAGTACTGCCTTCAGTAGTACTGGGGTGCTTCAACAAGTGGCAGACACATGCTAGGGTTCAGGATGTCTGGGCAGACTGGTCCTTCCCTGGTTGGGGGCCTTCTGCAGCCTCCGAGTTGTTACTGCCCCAGAGGCTGTAGATAAACTGAACAGTCAGCTCAGCCTAAAGAGCTTCTAAAGGAAAAGGCTGAATACAGGCTGAATACAGCTGAAAGTAACTTCTTAAACTGGGAGCCTCTTTTGTAAAGATTTTCCTGATGCAGGACTGAAAAGGAGAGCTCAACTCCTTTGTGGTAGCAAACAAATTTGTTAGAGCATGGTCAGTTCAGCAGTTTTACTAATAGAGAGTGTTCAGATGGGAATGACGAGGGGAAACTTTGTGTCAGTGCAGATACAGGCAGAGTATCAGAGTTCTGACTTCAGGTCAACCAAAACAAAAGCAAAACTGCAGTTTTCAAATGAGATTAAGAGTTTAACTGCTATGGCATCCCCTGTGCCCATCTCTCTTTTATCCAAACCTTGTTTCTCACTGAATTTTTTCCCCCAAAACTGTTACAGGTACCCTTTGCTATGTCTGTCAGGAAGTGACAGCTGGTGCAAGGGGAACACCCAGGGGAGTGCTGGTGGCAAATGGGATATGCTGAAGTTACAATCTCAGCAGAGATAAATGTGTGCTAATACCTCATGAAATCCTGTGGCAAGTCAGGAACTATGCAAAAAAATGTGACTTGGGGAGTCCCAGTCTACAAATACTGATCTTGAGAACAAAGAAACAAATACTGTAAAAATTAATATGAATATTATGAAAGACTGGAAGGTTTTTGAACAAATATAATTAGATTTGGATCGGAACCATATTGTCAAAATCAGCTCTCGAATTGTTCAGGGCCAGCGGTAACAGCATGATGAAATTGCGAGCTGACTGACATTTCTGCTTGGTAAGTTGGGGTCCATGGTATGGTCCTACCCGGAGAAGTGAACCACAGGTCGGAGCAAGGCCCTTAGCCTTGTGCTCACACTCCGTGGGTTCTCAGAAGTGAAGGGACTGTTGCTCTCTAGTGGTCGCTGCCAGGTTCCTGCCTGGAGTACTGACCTGCTGCACCAAGCAGCCTCAATGAATCACAAGTCTCATTGGTTTTCAAGACTGAACCCCATGCAGAATTTGGCCTGTTGTAAACCAGCTGGATCTCAAAACTGGGTGTTAAGAGTTGACTGCCACAGCTGATTCCATATTTAGCTGAGAGAAGGACAACAGACAAATTAATTTTTCAGTGGTGTTGACTAGCCTTTTCACCCAAGTAGTCCTTATCTGTCT